AAATACTCAGCTGACAGCCCTGTGAGGTGGTTTTATCTTTTGCTGATCCCCAGATGGCCAGACACTTAGCCTTATAACTTCTGGTACATTCATCCTCCCTGCCCTTGCCAGAGTGACCTTCTATTGCTCCTTGTAAAAGTGATTCAGAACAGGGGGTTTGGAGTGGGGTGGATCCAGCATCCTAAGAAGATTCTGAGCTGCTGACACACAGCAGTTTCTAAGTGAGGGCAGTGACTGCCTCTGCAGACTGATTCCCAGGAGTTCTTACTGAGGCCTGCCTGGGAGCACCCTGCCTATCAGGACCTGGGTGCAGAAAGGCTGAGAGACTGGAACAGAGCCTTGTTCTCTAGGTAGGCTCCCAGGCAGAAACAGATCAGACCCAGCCACCCTGATCCTGCAGTACCCAACTTCTAATGAGCTAGCCTGAGCAGAGCCAGGCTGCCCTGCTACCTATGCTGTCCGCAATTGGCCCTGTCACCTCCTCCTCTCTCTGCAGATCTTGTCCACTTTGATGTCCCCTCCATCCACATAGAGCTGGGGTCAACGCTCCGCCTGAGCCCCCTGGAACATGCGCGGCGGCACTCCGTGACTGACAAGAGGGACTCGGAAGAGGAGTCTGAGAGTACAGCTCTTTGATGTGGCCCACCCCGACACATGTACATACATCCACGGGCCCCCAGACACCACCCAGAGCAGCGGCCCTAGCCTGCCAAGGATTTCCCATCAGCCTTTGCTGTCATGTCCAGCAGCAGGGTGGAGATGGGCAGAGGAAAAGAGCTCTCCCGTCCATGCGGCGAGTGTTGGTGGTGCAGATTTTGTTTGTTCATTTTGGGTGATGATTCCAGCCTTTTGTTTGACCTTTGCCTTTTGACTTTGTGCCTATTTTGATCCATCTTTGGCCTCTATGGCAAGCAGTATCCACCTCTCCACTCAAGGGCTTGCCAGGATGGCCTTTGCAAGATGAGGGTATCAGAGAGGGTCTGTTTACTGCCTTGACTGGGACATCAGGTCCTACAGCATCACCCTAAGGGCCAGAGGGGAAGCAGGACAGGAGGAGACCCTTTCATAAGGCAAGAGAAGTCCTGGACACTGTCTGTCCTCTGCCTGCTGCCAGGGTCCTGGACAACCAGAAAGACCTTTCAGGCTACCCTTAATCACAGCTCCAAAAGAAACTGCTTAACCCATCTACTTCTGACAGCTTTATTTCCCCCACGTTGAAGAAAGGCTCCCTTTATTCCACATTGGCATTTCCGAATTGAGGATTTGAATACAGACCCTATGTAGGTCTCCATGGCCCCCACACACGTTAGGATCTGAGAGCAACTTTCCCATCCAGGCACCCAGCTTAGTAGGTATGTGGAACCTGGCACTGACTCCTCTTCTGGAGGTTACAGCTGACTAGCAATAATTTTGTTCCCTAAAGCAGGTAGAGGGAGTGGTACTAGGCAAGCAGCCCATTGTGTGGACTGCTCTGCTCACCAGCAGACCCTGATCATCATTTCCCCCAGCCCCATCTAGCCCTGGGGCAGGGGCACAGGGAGCCTCTTCACACTTTGGGATTAAGGGAATAAACCAAATTGGGGCCATGCATGCAAAGTTCAAGTTTAAAGTTTGATCCTTTGAAAATAGATATACCTATACATGATATATTTGTATATACAAAAATCTATATTTGTTTAATTTGAGCCATTCAATCTAAACCAGTGTACAGATGTACAATGAAAAACTCTAAATGCTTAGTTATTTTTCCCAGCAATGTAAACTCACCCTTCTCCGAGTGGGACCTGCAGGCTTTGGATGTTACAGCTTTGCTCACTTCCTGGCAAGGGCAGTCCGATCCCCAATTTGTAACGGAGCCTGGGGGTTGAAGGTTATCTTTAAATACATGTACAAATTGTTGTCAAGAGTAATGTTATTAAAATAGATTTATTATCCCTGAGCTTGGCACATGCTCTTGTTTCAGTAGAGGAGGCTGGGCAGTGACAACACCCTGTGCTGCCTCAGGAAGAAGTCTGAAGATCGCCACCAGGGAAGGAAGGCCAAGTGCTTGCTGTCTCACACCCAAGTGTGCTTTCCGAGCTCTCCTGGGTGGGGGAATATAAACATTAGAGTCGACTTTGAACATCCTTCCGAGTTTCAGTCACTAACCTGTTTTCAGATCCAAAAGAGTACCTAGGCCAAGGTGACATTTCTTCCTACTTTCATAGTGATTTTCATTCTCATCGTGGAGCAAGAGAACAGGCTCCACGGATCCTTGCGGCCACTGGTACATGCAGGGCACACTAGGTACCCCAGCCCATAGAAGACCCCCACACTGAAGCAGTACCATGACGAAGCCAAAGCACTCAGGATTCCAAACTTGAGCTTTATTGAGTCTGAGTCCTTGGAAATACTAGTCTTGGAGCCTGGGACACATACACCTGATTTCACCTGTATCATGGCTTGACTCTAGCATGCAGAGGGAGCCACTGTGCTAGTAGGTGAGGGCAAACACTTCAATTTCCATGACTTCTTTCAAGACTGGCTTGCTGTCTTCCCCTCTGTGGACTCCTGTCCTGCCACTGTGTTCTCCAGGCATGGGAGGCAACTGACAGATGGGTGCTCCCCCAGCCATGGCCATGGAGGACTGCATACTCTGATTGCAGGCTGACTCCCAGCTAGATTGTCTGCGCTGACTCCCACCAGGATGACAGAAGATGTGACTTCCACACAGGGCAGAAGTCCACAGCCTTTAGTCCAGGATGGCTTAGACCTTCACTGGGTTCTGACCTTCTTACTCTGTGGGCTGTGCGGCTCCTCCGTGAGGGCCCGCTTCTGCTGGGGTTCGGTGTCCTCCGGGCTGTCTCGCTGCTGGGCCAGGAGGGCTGCTCACACCAGCCACAGCCCCCGCCTCTCCTTGCGCTCTACCATCTCTTCAATGTCATCTGCGAACAGGGCCTTCAGTGAGGGAATCAGCTTGGGCACTGTTGGGAAGTCTTCAAAGCAGACCTGGAAGGACAGACAGGACAGGGGGACATTGAGAGTGGCAAAGGAGTATGAGAGCTGGGGTGAGACCACTTCTTGCTTACACACCCTCAGGGACCATGGCTTCAAAGAACACTATTCAGGAGGGGAGCAAGTACTATGAAGAAAGGCCAATTCCCCACTCCTGGGTAAGAGTGGGGAGACCAAAGGAAGAGGAAACAAATGGTCCAAACTTTCTTATCAAGCTCCTAACAACCAGAGCTGGCTCATGCCCATCCTTTATTTGGGGAGATGAAAGGGGTAGGCTGGGCTCTGCTACTCTGGGAGACTAGCCCCTGCCTACAGGGTGGTGATAAGGCTGCCATGGGAATGGCCCAGGCCTGGGGGAGGTTCTGGAATCTCCAGGGACCCTGAGGGCATAAAGACTCTTCAGGAGCAGACCTTGTCCTTGGTCTGATTTTGGTTACACCTGGCTAATGACAGAGAGCGCTGTTTTCTTTGGTGGCTCTAGGCCATAAAAGGAGAAGTGAACGAGGGTCACTTTCCTACCTGGCCCTGGTCCTTCAGAGCCCTCAGGGTCCACCCAACATACTAACCTTCATGTGGTCAAAGGCGATGCCAACTTTCTCATTAAAGTCAGGGCTGAAGAGGGGAATCTTGGCGTACCGCTGACTGAAGTGGTTCAGCATGATGAACTTGGCATTCATCCGCATCCCCACATTAATAGCCTGGGAGGTGGTGCTGTAGCAAAGAAAGCAAGGGATGCTAAGCCTTGGAGCAGGAGTCCACAAGCCTGACCCTCCCTGCTGAGGGCACCAAGAAGGGCTGGTAGAGTCCTCAGAAGGCTGTTAAGCCAGCAGAGATGCTCCTGAGGGCCAGAGCCTGCCCACACTTCCTGAGAGGCCTTGCAGTGGCTACTGGCTTTCAGTCTGTCAGAATAACACCTGAGAAGACCCTGGGGCACCTAAGAAGGTCAGTCTTAAAAACACCTTGTCATGATATCAATTTCCCCTGAAGTGACAGTTTATTCCAGCTGGCTTGTTCTTTTAAAACCTCACACCCACCACAGAACCCTGCCTGGGGGATATGCAAGATCAGAGGCAGAGTGCTCAGGAGAGCTAATGTGGGCTCAGGAAATTTCAGAAGCCTGGAAGAAAGCCAGCCAGTCCCATATGGCTGTGGGTACCTCTCTCGGGATGAGAAGAAGGCTAGTTTTTATTTGACAAAAGAGGGTGACAAGGACTAAATGGCTTTGCTACCTGTGTGTCTTTTCCACCGCTTCCTCTTCCAAGCCATCCTCCAGAGTGGCTTCGTGTATCAGGAGGTTGGCATCTTTGCCTGAACAGAAAGATGGGCATCAAGGAAGAGTTTGGATGAGTAGCATATATCCCTGGCATCCACAGTTGTGTTCTCACCAAATACTCAGCTCCCTTAGTCCCATGACTTGGTCCCTCAGGATGACAGCCGGGGAACCAACTGAGTAAGAATCAGTTTTTTATCTGTTGGCATCAGCTGCATACCCATCTGCACACACCTTAGACATGCCATATCCCATGCATCTCTCAAAGAACATGGGTTGGGGGGGCACTCAGCTCACTTACCCATCTGGACTAGAGCCTCACAGGGCATGGTATCCCCCGAGTAGACCACTTTCCAGCCAGAGGAGTGGACTAGTGCACAGCCGAAAGCATGTTTGCAGTGCCGTACCAGGCAGGTCTGAAACTGAGGGAGCAGAGGTGGAAAGCTCAGGCCCCACTCCCCACCCTGCCCGCCCTTTGTGGGGCTCTCTCCAGGGCCACTTACTTCTTCTAAGTCACATGTTTCCAACAGCAAACTGATTAGTCTTTCAATTGGGGGACTGAAGACACCTGCCCCTTTCTGAAGG